AAAAATTTTGAATTTTTTGAGTTTTTGAAGGTGAGCGGTAGTAAAATCGTCAAAATAGTCAATTTATCTTAAGTCGTAAAAACGGTTGAAATATYGTTTTCTAGACGTAAAATTACTCGCTGAACACGATTCAACTAGTTAGAATACTCTACGATGCATAGTTTTTGAGATATTGAGTAATAAAGTTAAGAATAAGGGTAAAAGTATAAGCACTATATCCGATTTTGACCAAAAATCAACATTTTTTGATTCTTATGAAAAACTAGTACTATATGTAAAATTAACCGGAGAACACGCCTGATAACATCGTTTTGACCTAGGACTCATAGTTTTTGAGATATCAATTTTTTTTTGAAAAAACTAAAAATGCTTTTGTACCCGGAACCATAACCCGGAGCGACTTCCGGTTTGCGCCAGTAAATAGATAATTTTAAGCTAATTTTAATGGTTTTTACCCCTTTGCTCTAAGTTCTATAGTTTCGTAGAAAAACGCGTTTAAAGTTTCACAATTTTGACAATTTTCACTTTTGAACGGCGATTACGACCAAACTATTAGACTTAGAACAATCAGTCCAACTCCATCGTAATCAGCATAAGAAAATTTATCGACTGAGGCCAAAGCCAAGTCGATATCTCGCAAAAAAAAATTTCAATTTTTAAACGCCGATTACGGCGAAACTAAAGGAGATAGCGCAAAATAATTGGGAAATTCGTAATTAGCGCGTCAAAATCTATCGGATAAGATAGGTTTAAATTAAATCTGAGACATGTTTAAAAACATTAGTTTTTAAGGGGGGGGTGTTGACAAATTTTTACTTTTTTTTATTTTGTAAATTGCGGCAAAACTGTGTCTCAATGACATAATATTTTGACCTAAACCTATGTAAAATGTTCCGGGGAATCGATTGGCGTCAATTAAACTGCAAAATTCGTAGTAGTTTTGAAGTTATAGTCGGATTTAAATTCTCGATATTTTTGACTTTATCAGAAATTTTCTCGATAACTATTCATCGTAGAGCACTGAAATTTTTAATATATAATAGAAAATTCAATTTTCTATCCAACGGTACCCAATATAAGAGGTTATCTCTAATAAGTCCGGAGTTATTGCCATTAAACCGCTCGGGGTGCCAAAAATCGACCAAAATCTCGACAAAAATCCAAAAAATTTTTAACTTTAAAATTGATCTATTTTACGTTTTTTACATTTCTAGAGGTCTTAAGGACTTAAATAAATGCAGAAAACGACATTGGGTCTAGTTTCAAAAATTTTGAATTTTTTGAGTTTTTGAAGGTGAGCGGTAGTAAAATCTTAAAAATAGTCAGTTTACCTCAACTCGTAAAGACGTTTGAAATATGGTTTATCACAAAATATATTATATTACTTTCAAGTTTATGACAGCAAATCTTTGCCTGACACTTTAAAAAAACTTATTGAACTAATCTAGAATAATATTAAATATTTCAAGGTTCCTTTCTGTAACGATTTGGCAAGTTACGTTTAATCAATAAGTGGAAGTATATTACATTCTCAACGTCGTTTCAATAGTGAACGAAACAGAAAACAAAATCAAAAACGTAATTAAAAATACATATTAGCTTAAACGCAGGTATCCTTCTCCCTATAATGTGGGATACTCTTCCTTTATTAGTCCTTTGGCCTACGCTGTCGCCTCCATTGCGGTTGCTGTTTCTGTTGACGGTGCTACAGCAATTCAGCCTGGATATGTTTATCTATGATTTATTATTAAACTGAGTTACATAAATTAATGTTGTCTTCACAGCTATGTGGCTGCCATTCGTGAATCCCACCGCTCCTTTTCCACAAGGACCTTTGGTCTCCAGTCAGACCACATTAATGCCGCCTCAGCTCCAGAAACTCATAGATTGCTAACCACATTTTAATTTGTGTAGCTATCTCATTAATTAAAAATTCACACAAGACCAATAACGCACTTTATTGATATGTTTTTTGATGGAGTGAGTTTTAGATTGCAATTGCTCACTTATTTATATGTTTTATTATGCATATGTGTTTACAAAGTTAGGCAATCGAGTTTTTGTATCATAATTTCAAAGAGATAATATTAAAGATTATTATAGTTTCTGCACACCTAAAACTGCAATGGATACACCCACATTTAGGTGGTGGGTTTGTGTTCCGAGAAAATTGCTCCACGTTTTTAATTAAATTCATCTGGAAAAACTTTATTTTGACTTATAAACTTTTTATTAGAAAAACTATTTTACAACTAACAATTTGAGTTTGTTTTTATATTTTTTTAAATGAATTTTTTATATGTTTTAAGAAACGAATATTAAATCATGCAATTTTTTACATCTAAACTTATTTCTTATAATTTGTTATTTGACTAAGGTAGGAAGGTAGGTAATTGCAAAAATATAAACAATTTAATAAGAAAATTTTATTAATTTCTACACAACGAAATATTTTTTTCGACGTTAAATCCTTGGTAAACCGTTCATTAACTGGCAGTTAGTTACAAAACAAAGGTATGTTTACACATCCAATAACTTCCACAATTATGTATTAAAATGGATAATATTAAATTATAACGTTTCCTGGGTTAAGTCTGAATCTTTATGGTAATTGTAAGGACAACAATGTGAAAACATTAATTCAGTGTTAAGCAAAATTTAAGTATTTATTGTCACAAGTTGAATAAATTGTTCGTGATACGAATCACGCTTTGTTGCATCTAAAAAATATTTTTTGTTACAAATACAAAATCTAATAATATTAAACACATACCGTTAATTTTATCATAATGAACAGCTTTAAACCATTCTCTTCTATGTTCCTTATTTGCTGGACCCCAGTCTAGGGTCGGTTTTAAAGCACTTTTAATTCGCTACAGAAACATTTAAAAAAAATTGCCAAATTTTGTAATTTTTTACCTCAATTAAATCACCTTCCTCTAAGTATAAAAGTCTGTATCCCATATAAAGAGGAATGCATATAATTGAAGCACCACAGGAACACCAACCTAGTGTAATAGACCAGTCGGGAAAAGCAATACCTCTGTATGTAACTCTTGTGTTAAATGCTATAGTAGTTACAAAAATAAACTAGAAAAAACATATTATTCTACACTACTCTGAAAACTGAAAAGAACAAAAAACTTTCCTAAATTTTTTGGTGATTTTTGAAAGGGTGTAACTCATAGAAAAATGGTCGTATCTAGTTTTGAGGTCTTTTGGCAAATATTTTTTTTTGCTACGGTTATCACGCAATTCTAAAACCATAAAAATTTTGAATTTTTTTTGCGCTATTACTTAGAATTGCGTGATAACCGTAGTACAGAAAAAATATTTGCCAAAAGATCTCAAAACTAGAAACTTAAAGCTTCAAAATGTTTTTTTTTAATCTACGACCATTTTTCGATGAGTTACAGTCTTTCAAAAAATACCAAAAAAATTGGGAAATTTTTTTTCCTTTAATTTTTTGGAGTAAATATTAATAATTTACATAGTATATTTTTAGTGTGTACAAAAGTACCAAATTTAAAAAATAAGCAAACTGCACGCACCGTAAGTATTAAAGGATTAGTTATTTTCCATGAAATGATCCACCACCAGTGAATTTTCTTTTGTATCATAAATTCTAAATCTTTAACAAATTGTTGCATACCATATGTCCATCCCACAATAAAAACTTCTATTAAACAAATTAAAATCACGGAAATTGATGCAGCGTACCAGTCAAATAACTGTAAGAGATACATTCCTCCCTACGATAAAATACATAACATTATTTTTTTATAAATATATCACAAAAAAGCTTTTGATAAATTTTATCTGACTTTATTGTCAACACTGAAAAACATTGAAAAACTTAAAAACAGAAGAAAAAAGTTGCATTTCTCCTTTTTACACCACTCAAACCAATAGTTTTTCAGGTTGGATATTTTTTCGGTATTAAATTTACATATCATAAATATGGTTTAAAATAATAAATTGTTTTAGCCCACCTGTTATTTGTGTTTGTTATATACTCGATTCACTACATAAATTATTATTGCTTGTGTATGTATTAACGAATACACAAAATGTATTTTAGTTATAACAAGGTGCGTAATTGGAATTTAATTTGAATGAATGACTCGCTGAACTTACATTGGTGACAAACATAAACGACAAAAACATCATAACCAAACAGGAGACTAAAGTTACCATCATCTTGTGTTTTCTTAACGTAGGAAATTCGTCAATAACGCTAGAAATAATGGCTTCTATTTGAACAAACTGTAAAAGTTGTTGGTAGGTGTTGATTCCAAAGATATAAATCCTACTTACGCAGCTGTCTAGACCTAGGAAGAAAAGCATAAGAAAAAACAAAATCGCCCAAATGTGAGGCCAAGGCAACATCGTAATTGCTTCCGGATATGTGACGAAAGCAAGTCCGGGGCCGCCAGTTGCGACTGTTGAAATCGGCAAACCGGTCTCATGAGACATGAAACCAATAACGGAAAACACTACGAATCCAGCAAAAATACTTGTCCCACAATTCAAAATTGGCACAAGGATTGAATCACTAAAAGTCAGGAAAATCATATAAGGACGCTTTGCAAAAACATTAATTCCTATCAATGTGTGGTACTGGATGTAAATCGAATAATTTGAGTCAGTTTAATTTTGAATTTTACTCTCTGTAAATTAGCTAAACATTTTATAAATTAAGTATGTGATGCAGTAGGTTGGTATATGAGTAATTCCATGCCAAAACGATCACATTTAAAACTCATTGTTTCTGATTTTCGTAAATTTGAGATATGTTATAGAACGTGTAAAAATAAATGACACGTATTTCACCGTTTTGTACTTTTTCAATGTATGTTGAAAAAACAGAGATGTACGAAATTAAGTACCTCGGAGCAAAAAGAATTTTTATCTAAAGAACAAATCAACATATTGAAACGAATTGTTTTTTTAAATAATAGATATAAATAGGTACTTTACGGTCGTAACATGAAAAAAATGTTAAAAACGTCTGTAAAAAAATTTTGACATTTATTCTTTAAAAATTGACATATTTCTTTAAGAAATTTTTAAATGTTTCTTGCAAGTTTAGAAATTTTTTATTCCAGTACACCTGACACTTTCTTAGTCTTCCCAACTGTCTTTTGTAGCACGATGTTTTGAAACGTCTCGATTGGCATTTTTACTACTAAATTTAAACATTTCCCTAAGACTTTTTCTTCTTCTGAAAATCAAAGTCAGTACATTTAACACTTTTTTACTCCAAGCCAAACTAATCCGATTAACCCAAAGTGGCCTAAAGTGACCTGAACCGACCTGAAGCTACTGGAAGTGACCCAAACACTATTTTTTACAATCTAAAAGACACTTTACAAAATAATTTTATTTCCATTTAATGATATTGATGATCTTGTATATGTTTTTTTTTTATTATTATTTAATAAAGCTACGATAATTTTGCCAATAAAAGCCACAAATAACATAAGACAGAGTTACAATTTAGGATACAGCTTCCTCTTCTAATAGTCTGTAGCAAAAAAAAACATGGAAAATTATTTTTCCAACGGAAACAAACAGAGTCAAAGTGCAAAATTTAAACTCTCATAACTTCGAAATTTTTATAGATAGATTTTTTTACATTTTTTCCATGCTCCTGGTATCTTACCTTACATGGCATGTTACGTTGGTCCGGGACTTTTGACACACCCTGTATAATCTAATCGACTTGAAAGACTGCGATTTTTTAAATGATCATTTTAGTCGAGCGAAGCTCATAAAAGGTACGCGAAATCTACATACTTTTATTTAATATCAGAAAATAGAATAAAAAAAATATAGAGAGTACTCTTCCTCAACCGAAGAATTTGTATTTATTATTGATATTTAAAAAAAAAAAAATATTAATAAGTTATTGGAAATTATGTGTTTTCTATACAACAGTTTATTGGTGACGATAATTGGTAATTTTTCTATTTAATTTCCAATGAAACGTTACTTTCAGGCGATCTTAGGGGATCATGCACTATGCAGCGCTCTCAAATAATTTTTTTCAGCCATTTTTAAAACGTGCGTTTTGAAACTTATGTGAAGACATAGTAAAGATATGAAAGTTTTTACATAAATTTTTTGAGAATTTTAAAAATTTGCGTAATTGTTTATTTTTTCGTTTAAACAATATATTTTTAAATTATTTGTTAATAACAAATTTTTAGAATACATGTATTATCACGTCCATAGTGTACCTACTTATATCTATTATTTAAAAAAATTGTTTCAATATGTTGATTTGCTCTTTAGATTTCTTTTTGTTACGAAGTACTTAATTTTGTACATCCGTTTTTTCAACATACATTGAAAAAATAAAAAAACGGTAGAAGACGTGTCACTTATTTTTCACGTTCTATAACATATCTCAAATTTACAAAAATCAGAAACAATGAGTTTTAAAAGATAAACATGAATAAAGACAAAAATATTTGTTTTTTTGCTAACAACTTACAGCTGATTGTTATTCCTAAAGTCATTGTAACTTGCCATGTTAACAATACCTCCCCAGCCTGGACCTAATGAGAAAAAAATTTGACAAGCAGCATCTGCCCACACCTAAAATGTCAACAGGAGTTTATTACATTACATTTTTCTTTAAAAAAAATAGACCTTTAAATTTGTAAGTTGATGCCACTGTGGATAGATGTAAAAAAATACTCCGTCCCAAGCGCCAGGTAATGTTAGCCCTCTTATTAGAAGGATAAATAAAACAAAAAAAGGAAACGTTGCTGTGAAATAAACAACTTTGCCAACAGTTTTCACACCCTTTATTATGCAAAGGTAAGTTATGACCCAAGCTATAACATTACATAAGAGAAGAGGCCAAACAATACCTCCTTGATCTTCAATACTGTCTGATATCTGCAAAATGTGGTAACTGAAAAATTATTATTTAATAAAAGAATGTTTGAAACTTGTCAACTAACTGAAAAAACTCGTCGGCTGGAGTCTTCATCCTATTTTCAAATGAATCATTTTGATGCAAAAGGAAAGTTTCGTTTGTGTGATTTTTTACAGCGTTCTGACCACCCAACTAAAATAAACTTAATTTTTATAAAAACTATTTTTTGATAAAACATTAAACTGTATTAGACTTTACAATACCTTAACACAATGCTCGGTGTTCCACGAATGGTCACAATTGGTCCAAGGCAATTTTGATTGAAAACAATTTGCCAAAAAGAACAAAGGGTATGCTATAATAACATTATAATAAGATGTGCAAATGGCATTTACAATTACAATAGCAAAACCAACCCCTAAAAAACACATTTTTTAAAGAAAAATAAAATACAAATAAATACCTTTAAATAAAGGAGCAATTTTAAACATAGTAATACATCCAGTGCTTGCAAACTGTCCTAAAGAAGTTTCCAAGAAAAATAGCGGAATCCCGCAAAAAAACAGCATTAACAAATAAGGGACGAGAAAAGCACCTATAAATATTTCTGACAAATGTATAAATTTTGTGCATTTTCTCACCTCCTCCATTCCTGTAACACAAGTATGGAAATCGCCACACGTTTCCTATGCCTATGGCATAGCCCATACATGATAATAAGAATTCGTATTTAGTGGCCCAAGTACCACGATTCTCATCGTGTGTAAAAAAACTGTCAGTAGACATTTAAGTAGCTTAACTGTCGTCAACTTACTATAACCATAAGCGACCTCCCTAACTTGAAGCAATTATTTTATCAAAACTGTAATTGGCGTGTTATCTCGATTACAGCATTGAATCTGTTGCTGGTTATTTATAATGATTGTCCTATTTTAAATAGGTAGTAAAATTTTTATTAAGTATTTATGTCGTAATCTCCTGTCCTGATCTACTACTCGCATCAGACTTACCTTACGAGCCATTTTTAAAAACATATACCTTTTTTTCAGATATCTACTGATTTTAAATAATTTTGAATTGATAATATTTTTTAAAAATAGATTTTTTTAACATTCTTCTCATGTTTTCAGTATTTTGTGTAATAATGTATTATAAACTTTGCGAATTTTGAGACAGCACACACATTTATATTAAAAAAAATAAACACTGTACCAAATTGTTTTGGGTCATTTTTTTATTTTGATTTTCTTAGGTTTTTTAACCTTTTTAACATCAGTGCCACTTTTTGTCTCTTTTAGCGTTTGACCTAACCTGGCTAATCCAAAACTAATCTCACAAGTCAAAAACTTTTCGACTTTTGACTTTTTTGAAGATTTGGATTTTTTACTTTTTTTTGATTTTTTAGATTTCTGTGATTTACTTGACTTCGTGGATTTTTTTGATTTCTTATCTGCTCCTTTCTTCTTATCACTTTTCTTATTTTTTTGTTTTGCATCTTCTTCTTTTTGCTCTTTCAGTCTCTTCTCTTCTTCAGCCTTTTTTCTCAAATTCTACAGTTAATTATTGTAATAATGTACAGGATGTTCAAAAAATCGCGCACTTCCTTGAATGGGAGTAATTGGGTAGTCCCCCAGAGTACTGAAAAAAAGTTTAAAAAATTTTGACATTTATTTCTTGACATTTGACATTTTTTTAAGTCTATTTAATGATAACGATGATCTTGTATATGTTTTTTATGATTATTTACTAAAGTACAAAAATTTTGTCAATAAAAACCACAAATAACACTAAACAGAATTATAATTTAGGATACAGCTTCTTTGTTTCCTTTTCTAATAGCCTATAGCAAAAAAATTGGAAAATTATTTTTCTAACAGAAATAAATAGAGTCATAGTGCAAAATTTAAACTCTCATAACTTCGGAATTTTTAGAGATAGATTTTTTTAACATTTCTCTTGTTGTCTAGGGTACCGCCCGATGACAGTGTCACGGAAGTGCGCGATTTTTTGAACATCCTGTATATTAAAATTGCAAACTTACTTCTAGATAACTGTTTAACTCAACTGCATTGCGTCCAAAAGACGGGTCTTCAGACCAATAAAAGTGTATATTATTTTTCCAATTAGTCGTAAATAAGTTGCAGTCAAAATTAGCTAAAGTCACTCGCTTTAAGATTGTTTCTTTTGGTTCCTCTTTGATTTTTTCTTTACTTTCTTCTTTTGTGCTAATAGATTTCTCAGATTTTGTTTTACCTTTTTTGTTTTTACTTTTACTGGATTTTTCAGATTTTTTACTACTGGTTTTGCTTTTTTTGTCTTTTTTTGACCCTTTCTTTTTCTTTTTTTCTGGTGGTTTGTACTGAAATTATTGGGTTAGTGATTACTAGAAAAGAGTTAATGACAATAACCTGCAAATAAATTACAGAGACGTTCACACAACTCCTAAAAGTGTCCCTATAAGTGAGTAAATTATTTTCAGGTGATTGCAAAACAAGTGGTGAAAATTTTAAATTGTTTCCCCAAACTTTTCTTTGAGACTGAAATGCGTTATTTATCTTTTTTGGGTTATATTCATTTGGGCGTTCATAAGGAGATTTTCCACCTTTTTTAGAACCTTTTTTTGTACTTTTCCCCGACTTGCTTTTTTTGCCTTTATGTTCTTTTTTCTTATTTTTTGCTTCTTTAGATTTATTACGTATTAAATTTTCATCACTTTCTTTGTCTATTTCCTCTTTAATATTTAATTGAAACAAAGGCATTTTAAACTCAATATGAATTGTTTGTTTCACTTTTTTCTAAAAATTATCAGTAAAGGAATAATGTTATTAAATCATAAGTATTTTTTACATCAGTTTTTGGTAATTTTGGTGGCTTTGGCAATCCAGTCAGCTTCAGACAGTTTACAAAAAATTCAGAAAAATGTGCCTTTTCCACAAAATTTTCGGTCAAGGCTCTATCAGAGGCGCTTAATTCAATTCCGTCCAAAAATATTAAATATGGAAAGCTGTTTAATACCATATCCTTGTAGCCCATTACCATCTATAAATGATATATACAAAATAGTTCTACAAACAATTTTTGTGGCGATCAAACTAATAATTATTACTAATAATTTAACTTAGCTTTTAAAGACACATTTTTTTTAATTAACCGACGAATCTTAAAGTAACAATGATGCTATCTATTAATTTGACCTTCAGATTTAAGTTACAGTTTTCTGAATAGAATTTACCGAGCATGGGTTTCCTTGTAGTAGCAACCCTTCTAGATTTTGAAGCGATTTTATTTCTTCTAACACATCTGCTAAACGATAGATGTCGCAATCTGACAAATCTAAAGATTTCAAATTGTTCAAGCGTCCACAAGCTGCCAGTAGATGTAGGTGACTGTCTAAAAAAATACTTTAGGTAAAAGTACAATAGTTTTAGGAAACTAAAACTAATTTTTAAAATGAACATTAAAATTAGAATTTTTACTTTATTGAAAATAAGTTATTTCCCTTACCATTTTTTTATAATTCACTATGTATTGGATGGTTGTTCAATTTTTGTTAATAGTTGAAATGATATAAAAATGTACTTTGCTTGTTTTTTTTTTTCAAGACCTTTATTAATAGTGCAGTAACTAATGATTTTAAACCAATAAATTAGTCCAATAATAATTATATTGCAAGTATTACAGTAATTTAACTTTTCCATTACAACACTATAAATTGTAACAAAAATATTCATAACAATTAAAATAAAACAATTAAAATGTAAACAATATTCCACTAACGCAACTGCCAAATGATACATCTTTATTATTTTTTTTTAATTGTTATTAATTATTCACACTATTTACAGTTTTTAAAGAAGTTAAGTTGCTAGTGATTTTAACATAATTTATTCTTCGTCACTGTCAAAATTTACGGTTTTTCTCCCGTGTAAGGAAGTTTTGACAACCGTTTGGCATTTCTCAATACAAAACGTCAAATTATTTTTAACAGATTTAAAGCAAGTTTAAGCCTTGTTGACTCCAATTCGAAGAATAAAATGTTGTATTCCATTCGTTTGAGTGTAAATCGGACGCTTTATTCCACCTCGGTCAAATAAAGAGTCCGATTTACACTCAAACTCGTCGAATAAATAACTATTATTAATAAAATAAGTTAAAAGTTTTAAGTGTAAATTGTTTTAAAAAATACAAGTCCGAATTAGGTGGATACCTAGGGTACAATATTTAAAATTAATCTTTTTTTAACTTAATTACTAATTTTCATGTGTTCACAATACCTCATCTAACAAAACAAGTACACTAGTACAAATATCCATAAAAATAAATAAATTTTGAGTAGTTATAATCAAAAATAATGAGGTTGTTATTTCATGTAATCATGTTCTTATAGAAAATGTCGCCTCAATAGTAAATACCAAACCTAATACATCCACTTAAATTAGAACAGCTGCATCGCACGACGATATATTATTATTATTTTAGTACCAATCGTCGGAAAATTGCATGGTTTTCGTCAATAGAAAAGCGTAAAAGTTTTACGCCAGGTAATTTTTCCCTCCGGTATACATCCATTCCCTGGCGGGCCTTAATAATGTAACCGTCCAGTCCGACTCGACTTGATGGTTTCAGGAAAATGAACTTCTCAATTTTTATGTAGTGTGTTAAATATTTCAGTTTGGACAGCAATGGCTATATGCCATTTTTCAATGTCTACAATGATCATGCACGTCTGCTGTCTGAAATCGAAATTGTTTAGTTTATTATTCAAGTCGAACTTTGAAAAAGGCAGTGCAGTGGGAGGAAATGCGTCTGTTGCTAATAAAACAAAATACATATAAATACAGAGATATTTTTTTTATTCTGAACATAGCCCTATGTTTGAATCTATTGCTGTTATTCAATGATAGTTTCAGTCTACAATTTAAAAGCAACGAAATAAAAAAATATTATTTAAATGATGACGATGACATGCAGATAAGACAGATAAGTACTTCACTGTAAAAATTGATGTTACAGCAAATTTTTTCTGAAAACAATAATTTAAAAAAAAATCTTAAATTTTTGCTCCGCCCCTTTTTTTGTTTTTTTTGTAACCGCTGCAAATACGAAAAAGATAGAAAAAAGTGTGAAGGACAAAGTTGTAGAAAATTAAATTTGCACCATATCTTTATTTCTAACAATTTATGTTTAAATGGCTTCTTGGACACGCCACCACCAAGCGAAATGTTTTATCACTAAAACATTTTTGACTGTCTGTAGAGGTGTCGCGGACTGTTTTAAAGCGAATTTAATTCTCTACAACTTTGTCCTTTACACTGTTTTTCTATCTTTAATCGTATGTGCAGCGTTTTCAAAAAAAAATTGAAAACATGAGGCGAAGTAAAAATTCATGTTTTTTTTTCTAAATTGTTGGTTTTAGTGAAACTTTTGCTATATTTTTATTTCTTACTGTGAAGTATTTAATGTTGTTTTGTCTGTTTTGTCATTATCTTCATTTAAATAAAGCAATTTTTTATTTCGTTGCTCAATAATTTATTAAATTATAAACGCGAGACTTTCATTGAATAACAGCAATGAATTGATCTGTGTTTTTTTAAACTGAACATAGAGCTATGTTTAGATTTCAAAAAATGTCCCTGTATTTATATGTGTATGGACCGAAAATAAAACCAAAAATTAGGTACACTGAATTATTTAAATATCCTTACATTTAACAAAAATAAAACGAAAAAAATGTGTGTTGCATTTAACATCGTTAAAAAATATTAATTCATATTCTAATCAGTTCATAATAAGTTGTAATTTCTTAACATTTTAAAAACGGAACTTCTTTGAATATGTTTTTGTAATTATGTTTATAGAAATATCGTTCAGAAAAAAAATAGTACTATTAGCACAATTTTAGCATTTTTGAATGGCAACTTTATAGGCTTATTCTCTAAGTTTTTTAACTTTCTGTGACAAGACTGTTTCTAGTATCTAAAAATGTATAATTAAATATTTCCTGTCAGTTTCATAGAACAATATTCCTAATAGAGACTTAATAGAAAGTAAAAAATTGAGAATGTAGCTTCAGAGATTTGAAAACTTTTTTATTTCAAGATATCGCGTAGTTTTTAAGTAAAATTTTATTTAACTTTACAAAATCACTTGAATCGCAAATATTTTACAGTTTGTTTTCAAAAAATTTTTTGTTTTTTTAAAAATCAGCTTTTATTTAGGTACCAATCAAAGACAAAAAGTTTTTTATTCAATCTTCCATGTTAAAATTGAATTTTATCTACTCTTTTCTTCATGTTAAATTGAAATTGTATCGTCTAGATGATAAAAAATACATCCATTTTTGTATATGTGCGGTTGTTAGTTGCTAACGATCTTTGACATTAGATATCATTATTGAATTTTACTTTGACATTTATAAATATCGACCAAATTGACTACAAAATTAGTGAGGATTGAATAAAATTTTATATTGTACACGACGATAAAATTTTTATTATCTTTAAGCATAAATTGCTCTCAAAGATAAAACTCAATTTTATCGTCTTGTTTAATAAATAACTATTATTTTGTACTCAATGTTAAAGAGTGCTTTTATTTCTAATTTTAGTAGATAAAGTAGTCTTTTATCGTCTAGTGAAATAATGTAATTTTTATCTACTGGTTATATTCTGGTAAGTGAGTACAAAATAAAACGAAATATTATACACGACGATAAAGATTGTTGATCTACTCGTGAAAAAAGTCCACTCGTGACTTCGTCACTCGTAAACTTAACCTTTTCACTGGTAGATAAACAATTTCTTTATCGTCTTTATAATAAATAACTAATAATTAAATGTTTTTGTGCTAGAATAAAAACCAAGCACTTTGGTTTAGAACGTGCTGATAACAACGGACTTGTTGACAAAAATTTCACATTCTAAACCAACATTAATTTTAAAGCCTTTTTAATTCGATTAATAAACTGGCCTTAATGTTGTAATTGGTATCACACAGAAACAAACATAAATTTTTCAGCAGCTTACTAGTTTTCTTACCTAGAGAATGTCCCATTATACTAAAAAAAATTAAATAAAATTTAAAACAAATTAAATGAACGTAAAAATGATAGTGTTAAATACAGACATTTCCTTTTTCGGTTGTTGAAAGAAAAACGAAATGTTCAGTTGACACGAATGCCGCCAATGAATATTTTATGGGCGCGTGTTCTGGCCAGATAATGATAAGGCAGGTAAATAAATAGGTATAATGCAAGTACTTTGCAGGTGATTTTCTATGGGAAAAACACGGCTGTCCAAGATACTAATAGCTTCAATTCATCAATAAATATTTTATTTACTATCTGAAACCTATACTTTTCAAAGATTACAACATTCGAGTGTAGCACGAAAGAATTTCTTTTGCATCATTCATTCATTAGAAGAGATTGTTAAATGCACAAATACTGAAAACCGATTTTTTGTATTGCAATTTTAACCTTTGTGTGTAGGTATTAATATTTAATAAATCAATTGAAAACAATTAAAGTTTTACGAGTGGCTGTTCGACAACAAAAACCTGTCAAGATTATTAATTAAACTTCGGACATATGAACGGATAAGAAGACAGGACCGGCATTATCACAGTACAGCAGGCGTTCAATGTGCATGAGAACCAGGTGTGTCTCATGATTAACGTGATGTTACCACACGGTAATAAATCAGAAATCATTAGGTGACAAGCCAATTATACATCAGAGAGCTCCACGATGAGAACAAGTGACATTCGCGTATGATCTCAGTCGACTGGATCCCCATTTATCACAGCTAAGTCTCTCGCTTCAGAAGTCCCTTAATTATATGTCCTCGCCGAGTCCGTACCTAGTGATGAGGTACGCGGTTTTACTATAATTATTAATTAGTCACTAGGACACTTTTGGGTCTAGTAAATTGTTTTTTGTCTACACAGAAATGTTAATAAAGTAACGTCTTTTAGAAAATGCTTGAAATATCAAGACAGACCAAGTCACCCATTTGTGAACCGTTTTTACGACTTAAGATAAATTGACTATTTTGACGATTTTACTACCGCTCACCTTCAAAAACTCAAAAAATTCAAAATTTTTTAAACTTGACCCAGTGGCGTTTTATGCATTTATTTGAGTCCTTAAGACCTCTAGAAAMGTAAAAAACGTAAAATAGATCAATTTTAAAGTTAAATTTTTTTTGGATTTTTGTCGAGATTTTGGTCGATTTTTGGCACCCGGAGCGGTCTAATCGCAATAACTCCTGACTTATTAGAAATAACCTCTTATATTTGGTACCGTTAGATAGAAAATTGAATTTTCTATCATATATTAAAAATTTCAGTGCTCTACGATGAATAGTTATCGAGAAAATTTCTGATAAAGT